GCCCCTGAGTTCAATCCCCGGTACCAAAAAAAAAAAAAAAAGAACTTGATGAAAGTATGGTATTGCCAAGAGAAGAGGTAGGGAATCTCAATAGAGAAATAAAAATTTAAAAAGGAGGGCTGGGTTGTAGCTCAGTGGAGAGAGAGAGGGAGGGAGGGAGGGAGGGAGGGAGAGAGAGAGAGAGGGAGGGAGGGAGGGAGGGAGGGAGAGAGAGAAGTAAGTGCATAAGAATGGCTGTAAAATGGGGGAGGGGTAAAATGCAGAGAATAGGAGGTTTTTTTTCTTCTACCAGATACAGTAACATTAAAGATATTCATTAAACTAATATGATATTGGAAAAATCTACATTTAGAATCATGAAATAAAATGAAGGATGCAGAAACATCTAAACCCACATATATCCAATTAAATATGTGAACTTAGTGTACAATAAAAATGATCTTTTGGGCTGGGGTTGTGGCTCGGTGGTAGAGTGCTTGTCTAGCATGTGCGAGGCACTGGGTTTGATTCTCAGCACCACATATAAATAAGTAAATAAAATAAAAATAAGGCACTAGGTTCCAATCCAGCACCCCCCAAAAAATTACTATTATTATTATTAAGATTTGTTTTTATAGTCCTCCAGCACATGATCTATGTTGGTGAATGTTCTATGCTCCTTGATCTTACCCCTATTTGACAAGGCAGTGTTCTGTTCCAATGTGGAAAATAAGACCCACCTAGAAATGGCTGGCAGCCTCCATGCTAAGAAATAGATTGCATGCTACCTTGAAGGTGACAGATTTCATTTACTTGAAGAATAAGAACTTGAAGGGCTGGGGATGTGGCTCAGTGGTAGAATTCTTGCCTGACATATGCAAGGCTCTGAGTCCAATCCCCAATGCTGCAAAACACAAACAAAAGAACATGAACTCTCCATCTTATCATGCTTTCTGATTCCTATGTCCTATTTACTACATTGTTCCATTTATCCTCAGAGAGACACAATGAAATAAGGATGACTTTTTTTTTTTTTTTTTTTTTTTTTTTTTACGGTGCTGGGAATTGAACCCAGGGCTTTGTGCATGCTAGGTAAGTTCAGTATCACCGAGCTGCATCTCAGCACAAGGATGCTATTTTTTAAAATTTAGAAAACAAGGAGTCCTTGGAAATTAGAAATGCAATAACAGAAATGAACATCTTAATGGAAAGATTGAAAGGCAATGGTAAAAAAAAATTTACCATATAAGGAAAAATATATTTTTAAAAATTAGAGAATAAATCATAGTACAACAACAAATAATAGAAGTTTCAGAAAAAAGAGAACATAAAAAATGGAGAGGAGAATTCAAGATAATTTGCTCATAGTAGTAAGGAACAGAGTGAAGGGCCAATTAAGTGTCCTACACAATGGATGAAAACAGACTTCATACCAACCAAGACATAGGAATATAAAATTTCAGAATTTCTGGAAGAAAAGATTTTATAATCTTCCAGAGAGAAAAATGACATAGTCACTGATTAAGAGTCAATCCAGGGACTGGGATTGTGACTCAGTGGTAGAGGGCATGCCTAGCATATGGGAGACACTGGGTTCAATTCTCAACACCGTATATAAATAAACAAACAAACTAACTAACTAATTAATTAATTAATTAAAGAACCATCAACAACCAATAAATTTTTTTTTAAAAAATGGCAGGGGTTGGGGCTGGGGTTGTGGTTCAGCTGTAGAGCACTCGCCTAGCATGGGCAAGGTCCTGGGTTCGATCCTCAGCACCACATAAAAATACATAAACAAAATAAAGGTGTTGTGTGCAACTAAAAAATAAATATTAAAAAAAAAATGGCAGGGGTTGTGGCTCAGTGGCAGAGCACTTACCTAGCATGTGTGAGATACTAGGTTGGATTCTCAGCACCACATATAAATAAATTAATAAATAAAGGTTCATCAACATCTAAAAATAATTTATAGATATAGATATAGATATATATGACTCAGTCTAGTTTGGCATTCTCAACAGCAATAGTAGAAGCCAGAAAACAATGGACCAATATCTTCAAAGTTCTTAGGGGGGAATGACTTTCATTCTAGAATTTCATACCCAGCCAAATTATCAGCCCTTTGTTAAAAGTACATCAAACTGTTGATCCTCATTACCTATGAGGAGGGAAAAGGTTATGTAGTGGGTGAATTTAGGAATTTTTGCCCTGCAGACATTTATGTTGTTTGACTCTAATACAGCAACATGTTTCGTCCTTACTTAAAGTTATGGTTTGGATCTAGAATGTCCCTTAGCTCACATTGAAAGCATGGCATCCAATGCAGTAAGGCTCAGAGATGGGATTTTTAGGAAATGATGGGATCATGAGGGCTCTAACATCATCAGTGGATTAATAATTTGAACAGACTGATGGCTGGTAACTCTAGGCAGGTGGGACAAGGTTGACTGGAGGAAGTAGGTCTCTGGGTATGACCTTGGATTATATCTGTCCCTGGCCCCTTCTTCRTTTTGCTTCCTGGCTGCCATGAGTTGAGTAGCTTTCCTCCAACATGCCACTCCACCATGATGTTCTGCCCCACCTCAGGTATAAAGGAATGGCGCCAGTTGACAACAGATTGAATCCTCTGAAACCATGAGCCAAAACAAACTTTTCCTTCTCTTGTCATGTTCTTGTCCTGTGTTTCGATCACAGTGATAAAAGCTGGCTAAAACACTTACYCAAGGTTTTCAAACAAAGGAAGAGAATTGAATTAAATGCTGCACATTGTTGCACATGTTAATGGTAAATTTTTGTGGGAAATCTAACAAACTCTAAGTGCTGATTTGATTTTTCTTTTTAAACTACTCAATGACCTTACAACATCCTTCCTAATCAAATTGGAGGTTTGGTGTTTTGTTTTTCTTTTTCCTGCCAACTAAAAATACACTATCCAACTCAGGAAATGCTGCTGATTGAATAGCAGCTGCTGCTGAGGGCCTACTTTACATATCGAAACCAACCTTGGAAGAAAAATACCTAAAGCTCGCTGTGTCAGCTCCTGTTTTGAAGCAAGCCTGAAGCGTCACACAGGTTTGTCTTGGCCTCCACATGGTCCTGCCTGCATAGTTTTAGGAGAAAGTCTCTTGCTACTCTTTCTTTCCTCCCTTAGTGCAAGGAAACTTCCTGCAAATACTAGAAAAGCTATTTCAGTGCAAAGTTAACATTCTCCAGATCTTTCTTACGCTGGAAGTAGATCATCCATCCATTGCCAATTCCTTTTTTCCTTCATTATTGATGAGAAAAAGATCCAGTGCCAAGATATTTCTGCCTAGATGGGGAGAGAGAATAAAAAGATAGGCATAAAAACTTTCCCCAGTTTTGCCATGTTCTTCACTTGGTTATATAAAAATATCATCATCAATAAAATAGGAAATGCAAATAGCAGGAAAGTTCTGAAAGATGAGTTGTGCTGTAAGTAGAAAACACAAGGCACTTAATGTGACTGCTCAAAGTACAATCTTAATGCAAACTAGGATGTTTAAGAAGGATCTATAATCTGCTTATGTTTTAATCTATGTTGAATGCTGTTACATGGTATTCTAGTCTTCATACACAAGAACATCAAGGGCTAGGATGTAGCTCAGTGGTAGGGTGCTTGCCAGGCATGYACGAAGCTCTAGGTTCAACTCCCAGTATGGCAAAAATGGGGAAAAAAATGTTGATTCTGCAACATGGAGATGCATTTTGAGCAATTGTAAAAGAAATAATGTGACAGAATATGTAGAGTATTTCTCATAGCTGTGCAATAAAAATTGCATTATAGGCTGGTGTGGTGGCAAGTTCAAGGCCAATCTGAGAAACTTAATGAGACCCTGTGTAAGAATAATAATAAAGCTGAGGGCAGGTCTGGGGATGTAGCTCAGTGCTAGAGTGCTTACCTAGCATAGGCAAGGATGTTCAGACTTCAGTACCCCAAAACAAAACAAAATAGATTAAATAATAAATTATCCCAGGTACTACTAGGTTCCGATTTTGTCTCCCATAGTGCACATGTTGGCTACTTAATCCCCAGTGCAACTGTGTTGACAGGTGGAACCTGTGGGAGTGATTAGGACACAAGGGCAGAGCCGTCATGAGTGGAACAATGTTGGCTATCAGGAGAATGGGTTAGTATGAGTATAAGTTTGGGCCTCTTTGCTCTCTGCTACTTTCTTGCCCTTCTGCCTTCTGCCATTGACTGATACAGCACAAAGGACCTCCCCAGATGCTGACGTCATGCTCTTGAACTTCCCAGGCTCCAGGAAAGTATACCAAATAATTCTTTTTCTTTGTGAATTACCTAGTTTATGATATTCTTTTGTTTTGTTTTTGGTACTAGGGATTGAACCCAGGGGTGCTTTACCACTTGAGCTACATCTCCAGTCCTTTTTATTTAWCATTTTGAGATAAGGTCTTACTAAGTTGCTGAGGCTGACCTGAAACTTGTGATCCTCCTGCTTCAGCCTCCTGAGCTGCTGGGATGACAGGAATGCACCACACACCACGCCTGGCTAGTCTATGGTAGTCTGTGATAGCTACACAAAAAGGACTGAGACCCGGGATAACAGAGAGAGAAAGAAGCAGATCTGGGGCTAAAATGCACATCTKAATTCTTCAACCTGTGTTTTTCCTAATTTATGATGAAGATTTACTGATAAAACCACACTGCTTCATTTGTAAGATGGCAGGTAGGAATTACTGCAGCRTGCCCTCTGGTTTTAAAATTTTGGACTTGATAGCTGAGCACGGTGGCACACACCTATAATCCCAGGGGCTCAGGAGGCTGAGGCAGGAGGATTCCAAGTTCAAAGCCAGCCTTAGCAACTTAGCAAGACCCTGTGCAACTTGGGTGAGATCCTGTCTCAAAGTAAAAAAATAATAAAAAGGGCTGGGGATGTGGCTCAGTGGTTAAGCGCCTCTGGATTCAATTCTCAATGTGTGTGTGTTTGTTTTACTTGATGACCATGCAACACCAGCAGCAAAAATTTTGAGAATTGATCCTTTGGTTCATGAGTGTGATGACTGGGTGGTCACATTATTGTGTGAGATGTGCCTCCCTCTAAACCTTGTTACAACTTCGGCATATTATCCATCTGATGTGAAAAAAAAAATTGAGCATATGAGATATACCTGCATGTGTGCATACACAAAGAAACAGACACACATATGCTGTTAACCCATGTTCAAAGACAAAGCTCTTGGAATACAGCATTGCCTGTACAGAGAATCTTCTATCATGGAACACAGTGAACGGGATTGCAGCAGACATTGTTGCCCACCCAACACCACCCCTGCTTTCTTCTTACTAAGACTAGCACTATTTTATCCAGATACTGGGGGCAACATTCTCAGAGAAATTGAACCCAGCCTGGCCATGCCAAGGAATTTCATTTCTCTTGGTCAATGAGATAAAAGGGGAAATTGGCAGCTTTGAGGAGATATTTCCTTTTTGATTAAATAGATACACACACACACACACACACACACACACACACGCGCGCACACACACACACACACACACACAATAAGAACACACCTTTCCCTTCTTCCTGATCTTCAATTCAGCTGTGCAAGGATAAGATGTTTGGTGTTGCTACACCAGGGAAGGAAACATCGTCTGTAAACTGATGGTGCCAAAGCAGAGAATGGAAAGAGATGGGCTCCTCTGTGACACTTGAGCTGCAGACCAACCCAGATCTACCTCACTGCAGACTCACTGTCCTGGGAGAATGAGAAAACCTTCTTTCTGCCCTTGCAGCTGGGTGTTCTATAACTTCCAGCCCAAAGCATCCTCACTCTGCCTCTCTGAGTCTCAGCTCTTTTCTTTTATAAAATGATGACAATTACACCTGTCAGGGTGGTTGTGAGGAAGAAATGAAATAATAAAATGTCTAACATAAAAGAACTCAGTAAATGGCCGCTACTAACATCATAAGCATAATAACTATGATAAATCCTCAACAGTGGGAATGTTCTCTGCACTCTGTCAATCTCTCTGTGACAGCTGGCACATTTCCCCTACGACAGTGGCCTGGGGACAGTACACCCAGCTCCTACCTTCTCTAYGTGTTGAGGAGCTCAGCCATGGGTGCTTTAGGCCTGGGAGCCAAAAGGCCCAGCCCACAGGGGAAAAGAAAATTGAAATCATGTGAGATTGAAGCATAATCGATAGAGCAACATAACATACTGAAAGATCGAAGCAAGCCGTAAAATGTTCATTTCTTGGGTCCTAGAAATCCCAACTCCRCCAACCCAGCCAACAGAAATGAACCAAGTGAAAAGGAAAAAGTTGATTCACACAATCTTTAATTCAGCAGTTTTTTGCAGACTTGACAAGGGGGAAACCAAAACATTTCCCCTTAAAGTGGTGGAATGATGAAGCCAACACAATAATTTTTATTAAAGACTAGGTAGGAGTAAGGCAATGTCATTTTTGACATAAATGAAAAATACATCCAATCAGAATACCAGAGTGTATGCACACTCTTCTTATCACCACCTGGAGCACGGCTGCGGTTAGGCTGGCTATAATTGGCACCAAGGGCATTGGAAYACAGGAAATGAGGGACTGCCAATTGCTGTTTTCTCTCTTTACTAARATTATTAGTGGTTTTCAAAACAGCCCAGCAGCCAAGTGCAGAGCTGGAGGTGCTGGGGGAAGCAAAGGGACCGATGGCCCCACCACCTAAAAAGCTGCACCCAGAGAAGGCATCTGAGGCAGAAGCCCCACACCCAGGACTCATGACCCAGGCAGCCATGAAGATGTACTGCAAAGACTACCAGCTCCGCAGACACCGTGAGGAAGCCAAGAGCCTCTGAAACCTGGGAGGGAGGGAACTCAGGAAACCTTTCCCTTGCTTTTGCTGGGCAGATATTTCTGGTAGAATGTTTCCTATCGACTACTCTCTATGAATACTGTGTATGGCCAGAGTACTAGAAAAGCATGARCAGACAGATTTCTGTCCTTTAAAGGAATTCTCTGGAGGGCCACATATCAGCCCATGAAAMCAATTAATTACCTTAGAAAAGGCACACAGCTACCACAAACACATGTTTGAAAAGCATGTTAAAAAAATAAGATAAATATATGTTTGCATACTGTAGGGCTTCTGTGTTTAGGATTGGGGTCTAACTTCGTGACTGTGACATGCATGCTTGGTAACTAGGAAGTCTCTGTGCAAAGCCACAGAATGCCTGACTGCTAGGAACTTTCTGTGCAAACATGGGACACTGGCTACTGGGAAACTCCTGTGCAAAAGCTTGGGATGGCTGGCCGCTCTACCAATGCTCTTCATGAGTGAGCCTGTTTCCCAGGCTTGGAATGCCCAGCTGCTTCCCCTTGAAGCTATTAGGATAACTATGCAAGTGCACTATCTGATTTCCATGGTCATGTCCTTGAAGGAAAGGGGACTCTGTGTTTGTATTAACCTGGACCTTATCTCAGTTAGCTAGCACTCAGGGTTAAAGGAATACTAGTTAGAATGTAGTCATGGTGATGGGTAATATATGACTTTTGGGGGGTTAATAAACGCAGCAGGAGAGAGAAGCGGACACCTTTGTCTGCCACCTTTGTCTGCCTGCTTCTACACTGTGTGTGTGTGTGTGTGTGTCTGTCCTTTGTTCGCCTCTTCACAGGTTTTCTTCACAGGGTTCTTTACAGCATACTGTAAACATAAGTCACATATATTTACAATCAACTGYCTACTACATCCCATGACTGTCAACTTAGGTCTTCACACATCCACATTTTGACTCAATCGTGAACGTGGAGTTCTTGCTGRTAGTTGACTTGCATGGTTTTCATGAATTCTCCATTGTCTGCTTCCATGCCACCCACCATGGCACAGGCCGCCAAGGCAGTGTCGTGTTCCCCGATGGCCCACAGGACGCAGGTAGGAGCAGCCTCCCTGCATGAACGAGACCACATGTCGCCTTGAAGAAACAGAACTCACTGACTCRGAGGGCAAGAAGATGGACCTCTGGCTGTCACCTGGATGGCTTCTGGTTTGGGGTCTCTGTCCTCCCACAACTTTGGGTCCCTTATTAATTTCTTTCCCCCCAATTATGTCTTCCTCTATTGTTGGGCCCTAAAACAGAGCAAGTCACTTTTTTTTTTGAAACAAATATTTTACAATGTCCATTTCCTTTTTTMTTCCCCTATTTCTTCTCCCTCCTCCTCCTCCTTCCCTCACCCTCTGGAAGGGTTGGACTCAGAACCTCACACATGCTAGGCAAGTGCTCCCACTGAGCTACACCCCCAACTCTACCATGTCTGTTTCTTAAATCTAGAAATGCAAATTGTAAAGGGTAGAATCTACCTAGTACTTGCATAATCTTTAAAAAAAAATCAGGATAATGATGTAACATAAGGAACAAATAAGAGGAAAGTAACTCAATGACACATAATTCTATATGTAAATGCTCAGACCCAATTGCACTGATAAAGCCATCACATTCTTGCATCTAAAGGCAGAACCCATGTGAGCATGATGCACCCAATACAGGGTTTTGCAGCATCTTACCAGCAGCTTAAATGTCATACTTCTGTTCAAAGTGGTGCTGTTGATGATATGATATTCTGAACAGTCCACAGTAAAGCTCCAAACAAATAAAGTGCAAAATTTCCACAATTTACATATGTTTCAGGTTGGTTGTGGTTTTTCCCCCAAAATGTTCATGTACTGGACATTTGGTCCCCAACCTAGTGGTGATGTTGGGAGGTGGWGGAGCCTTTAAAAGGTGGAGCCTAGAGGGAAGTAATTGGGCCCTGGGGATTAACGCTGCCTTGCTGAAGTTCTAGCCCTCCTGTGACTACAGCAGTGCTTTCAGAAAAGGTTATACATGTATTTTGTATAACAAGACCCTCACCATTATACAAATACATGTATGAAGATGGGAGGAAAAAAAAAAGAATAGCGTTACCGTAGATTGGGTAGAGAGAAGTGATGGGAGGGGAGGGAAGAGGAGGGKGGGAAAGGAAGGACAGCAGAATGAAATAGACATTATTATTGCTGTGTGTATATACGTGACTGCATGACCAATGTGATTCTGCAACTTGTACACTCAGAAAAATGAGAAATTATATCCCATCTGATTCAAATGTATGATATGTTAAGGTCATTGTACTATCATGTGTAACTAATTAAAAAAAAAAAGAAAAGGTTGTTATAAAGCAAGACTACACATAGTCATTTCCCTTTCCACTCCTCTGGCCATCTTGTGAGGCAGCCAGGGCACCCTCACTAGGATGCAAGTGCTATGCTGTTGGGACCTTTCAACTACCAGGAATGTGAATCAAATAAGCATCTTTATTTCATAAGCTATTCAGTCTCAAGTATTTTGTTATATCAATGGAAAATGGACTAAGATGATGTATTAAGTACATTTCTGTAAAGCATAGTATATGTGAAAATCATGTGGAAAATAGTTTGTACTGGTATAAAATAACATTTGATTCTAAAATCAGATTTGGTGGGGAGGGGTCCTGGATAATGAACCCAGGGGCACTTTACCACTGAGCTATATCCCCAGCCCTTTGAAGCAGGCTTTGCTTAGGGGCTTGCTAAATTGCTGAGGCTGGCCTTGAACTTGTGATCCTCCTGCCTTAGCCTCCCAGGTTACTAGGATTACAGGTGTGCATCACTGTGCCTAACTAGGTTTTCTCTTTCTCTCTTTCTTTCTTCCTTTTCTTTTCTTTTTCTTTTTTTTTTTTTTTTTGTTCTGGGGTTTGAACCCAGTGGTGCTTTAACCACTGAGCTATACCCCCAGTCCTTTTTATTATTTTAATTTTGAGCCAGGGTCTCATTAAATTGCCCAAGCTGGCCTTGAACTTGGGATCCTCCTGCCTCAGTCTCCTGAGTCACTGGACTACAGGTACACAATACAATGCCTGGTTGGAATCAGGTAATTTTTAAATAGTGTTTTTTTTTTTTTTTTAAATCACATAAATGTCTGGGACATTCAAAAGTTGAATTAAAAGTCAAGAAACATTCACTGTGCAGAATTCTTCTGGGCATTATAAGATGTCTAGAATCCCTGCCCCCAGCCCCAGAGTTCCTAGAGCCTGCTCTAATCATACTCTCAAAGTATGTGAGTATTT